TGTTTTTAAGTTGTCACTAAGGGGAGCAGGATAGTCTGAGACCCGACCTTTTTTGTTACTCAGTGAAGTGCCCCTTACAAAGACCTCAAGGGATATGGTGATCACAGCCCATTTGGGCCACCTGTGCTGATTCCAGATGCTTCTTTCAGGACTACATGGGCGCCCCCCCAACCCCTCCATGGGCTCCCAGGCCCCAGAGCAGAGGTACTTGTTTTCACCTGCAGATTTCCTGTGTTCCCCCACACCCCAAGAGAGAACATGAATTGACCAGCAAGCAGAGGAACCAAACCCCCAGTTCTGCCTCATTTAATATGGGCCCTCAGGACAAAGGGAAAAAACCCAGCCCAGTCTGTCAGTCCAGAGATTATTAGTGGAGCACCTAGCATAAGCCAGGCCTTGCCATCGGCACCGGGAGACTAGCATTGTTCCCTGGGAGGAGACAGAGGAGAGAAAAAACAGTATGTGGAGTGTTGTGATAAAGAAGCACAGGGAAATAAACGTATACGTGAAACAGCCTAGCGGTCAGGGAAGACAAGGCCTTTGAGCTGGGCCCTTAAGGCCTAGGCAGGTGGTCACCAGGCGCTCAGAGACCACTAGGGCCGCACGCCCACTTGGCAGATCCGGACACAGAGCCTGCTTCTGTCTACCCTCCCGCCAGGCCCAGCTTACCCGGCCTAGGCCCAGGGAGACTCCCACAGCGCGGGCCCGTCCGCCCAGCCCCGGGGCGGGGCCTCGGCCCAGGTGCGCCGCGGCGCTTCGCGGAGGCAGGAAGTGTGTCCCCAGCGGCAGCCCGTGCGGCGCTCCCGCGAGACGCTCACCTGCGCCCCAGGTGAGCGGCGAGGGGGGCGGGGGGAGGGGCCGAGCCGGAGGCGGCTCACCTGGCGGGACAGGTAAGCCCCGCGCGGGCCCGAGGGGGCGCGAACCAGGGCGGCGCCAGTGTGGAGAGACCCTCGAGGCAACGCCCGGGCAGGGGAGCGGCCCGGGACAGGTTCCTCGGGGGCCACCCTCCCACTTCCGGGGTGCGCGGGCCGGACCGGGGAGCGGCCTGAGCGGGCGCCTGGGTTGGGCGGGCAGAGTTGGGTGAGGGGTGGCCGGCTTTACGCTTGGGGCTGCGCCGGCTCGGGGCGAGAGCGGTGCTTGCCCGGGGGCCGTGTCGGGACGGGGAGGGGGCGGTGCTCGCCCTGAGGAATGGTGTCAGGCGGGAGGGAGGCTGGTCCTCCCGCAGGCGGAGGGCCCCAACATCTGGAGAGGGTGTGCTCGCCCCGAGGGCATTGTTGGTGTCGAGGCTGTGCTGGTCCGACGGGCTGTGCCAGGGTCTAGGTGCCCGCGGATGCGGGAGTCGCGGGCTGAGCCTTTGGGGCAGGAGATCAAGGGTGCACGGATGCCTGGTCTGTTTCATGGGCAGGACTGGGGCGCACCTCCTGCCCCAGCGAGAGGCTCGTCTGGACACGGGGGTTGAGGCGCGTTTAGATCTGTCTCGGGGACTTAGGAAGGAGGTTATGGAGAGAGACCCCAGGGTGTCGGTGCGTGAGTTTTCAGAGGCTAAAGGGGAGGGGGAGAGAACCCAGGAGATGTTTGGGGCGGGCATGCCAGAATCCTGGGACCTCCTGACCTCCGCAAAGATGCTACTGTGCTATGGGTGACCAAAAATGTAGCCCCTCCCAGATGCCAGTCCTCAGGGATATGCCACAAAGACACTACTCTCCCCTCTTGTTATAGCTGAGAAAATTGAGGCCAAGAATCTTGCCCCGGGAAGTGGGAGGTGGAGAGCTTCCCTCACAGAACCAAATGAGGGGTGTTTCTAGGATTTGGGAGAAGGGATGGAGGTGGTATAACTTGCATAAAACTGCCTGAGTGTGATTTCAGGAGGGTTGAAAACTTGGGGGGGGGGGGACAAACCGAGGCTAGGCACTGTCCTCACCCCAGTTCTTGAGCTCTTTCCTTATTCCACCCCTGTTCAAAATGTGTGGCACCTGCAATGTGGGCTCTGGAGTCTGGGGACCACAGTTCAAATCCTGCTCCATCCCTTTCCAGCTAGGTATCTCTTTTCACCTGGGAGCATCCGGATACCTGATGTGAAAGTGGAGCTCTAATACCTGCAGGGCAATGTGAGTGCTGAATAAAGGGAGGTCCCCTGGGGCTGGAGCATGCCTCTTGCCCATTCACTTCGGCTCCCAGCATTTAGTAGTGTGTTTGGGGGAGGGGAGGGGTGGATGTTCAGTAAATATTTGTGGGATGAATTTAATAAACAGTGAACCCCAAAGCCTTGGAGGCGGGGGAGGAGAGTGACCCAGACTATCATCAGTAAACCTTTGATGTTCTTACAAACCCGAATTCAGTATGGCTGAAACTGTGCAGATGTGTTCATCTTCTAAGACCTGAGGCTGGATGGCTCGGGGCTGCCTGTGTGGGCACCTTGGGCGCAGGCTGTGGAGAGCGGGCAGAGCCACTTTCACTGCCCTGTCCTCCCAAGGGACGGACGAGATGGCGTAGTGAGAGTCTGGGCCAGGCTGCTTGGGTACAAGCAGATGTGTGGCTGCTTATTCATCTTCTCTGTCTCAGTATAGTGATAGTAACAATAACACTTATACACAGGGCAGTGAGAGGTAATTGATTTAATGCATTTAAAGCACTAAGAGCAACGTCCAATAATCAGCTCTCACTAAAATGCAAACTCCTGAGTTTAGGGATTTGGTCTGTTTTACCACTGTCTCCATAGAAGGTAGTAGTGTCTGGCACACTGAAGGCCCTCAGCAAATGTGTGTTAAGTGAGTGAACGAGTGACTCCATATCCACCCCATTACTCAAACCATGGCTAAGGATTTTTAACCACTCGTCCTCTGGGTTGTTAACTACTTTAAAATCACATCTTACAATTTCATCTTTGGATTTCACCCTCTTCCCCCTCAGACTACTGCTCCCCCCCCACTCCAGTCAGCCTAGGGCCTACGTCCTTTTTCTTTTCCCTCAAAAGCCATGGTTGTACCATGAGTCAGCCCCCAAAGCATTATTGAACCGAATCCTTCCAGACACTGAGGCAGAAAGGAGTCAGTCTCTCGGGGCCATCCATACTTACCTCCGAACAGTGGGCTCAAGCCTGACTCAGCTTACAGAAAGCCCAGAGAAGATTTGGGGGTCCCATTATCTTGGGTTCCGGAGGGTACTTGGAGAAGGAGTGCTGAGTGGGAATGGGGGAATGGGCTGAAGAGCTGTAGGAACAAAGACCTCCTGCATTCTCCCCGTCACCCTTCACCATGGCTGAGATTCCCTCCCTCCCCTTTTTTCTCTATTCACATATACCTTACCTTCTGGTTTCCTGGAAACTTTTCAGACTATTTTGCAGAAATCATGCTCCTTAACCTCTAAATACCGATACATTTCCTAAGAAGAAGAATGTTATCTTCCATAACTATAGGAATCAAATTCAGAAAACATTGACCTAATTCTATTAAATATAGTCTATTTTCAAATATAGTCTGTTTCACCAGTTTCTGCCCTTGATCGGTTTAGTTGTCCTGCCCATCAGCAGGGGTTGCCTGATGCTTCCTCATGATGGGGTTCAGTTGTGCACCCTTCCTCAGGGCTGCCTTGTCGGTGGCGGCCTCCTCAGTCTACCCATAGTATCCGGAGGCACAGTGCTGGTTTGCCCCATTATTCGATATTAACTTTGATCATATTGATTAAAGTGGTGTCTGCCAGGTTTCTGCAGATTCTTTTTAAGTTCTCACTGGCTGCTACAAGTAGATTGGAATGGAGGTGGCCAGAATGAGAGTCTTGATAGTGCCCGAGAGTGACGGTAGCCTTGTTTAGGGAGGTGACATTGATTTGCCTGAGGCACACTGCCTATTAGAGCCAGAATGGAGCTAGGACACAGACATCTGCCCCCCCCCCCCCCGCCCCACTACCTCCCCACTGCCAGTTCGGAGAACCCAGTGCCATCAGGGATTAAAAAAAAAATAAGGAACCAGTCTTCAAAAGCCCAGGCTAAAGACAGTCACTGCCCAATAAACCCCTTTTTGTGATAAGGATCCTCCTGAGTCCACCACTAGACAATGTTCCCTCATCCTTCAGCAGAGTTATTTACTCCCATGAAGCCTCCTCTGTCCTGCCACTTCCATCTCCACCTTTTTTCCCTACCAAAGCATGTGGGAATCACAAGGATTCACAACCTACATCTGCAGGGCCTGACAGGCTCAGTGCCTATGGGATGACTGAGGTCTTAGCTCTGAGCCTACAAGCAACCTAATTAAAAAAGCGAAAGTGGCTGTATTTTGTGGCTCGGCTTTCTTGTCTAATCAAAGGAAGCAAAAAGTGCTTAGTGCCAAAGCACTAGGAGAGCAACCTGAGCTGGACTGAACTACTGACAGCGGCCTGTTACGGTTCCTTGTTGGTTCTGAAGGGAGGGCCTGGAGAAGGGAAGGCGGCCGTGGCAAAGATCAAGCTCTGGAGAGTCGCATGGAAGGACACGTGCTGTGCGGCCTCCGAGCCTCTGCTGGCTGGGCTACCATGGGGAGAAACTGGGGGAGACCAGGCCCCAGGCGTAGGATCCCCGCAGAGAGACATGTGTATCCGTTGCAGAATATACACCCAAAGGTGGAACTGCTGGCTCGTAAGGCGAGGCTGTAACTTGTGGAGGGACGGCCACCCTGTTTCCCCAGCGGCTGCCCTGCTCACATTCCCACAGCTGTGCACGAGGGCGCCAGCTTCCCCGCATCCTCACCAACGCTTGCTATTTCCTGCTTTTCCAAGAGCAGCCATCCCGATGGGTGTGAAGTCCCAGATGCTGACATGTAGGTTAGACCCAGAGAGAACTTCCTCTTTGGGGAGCAGAACAGCACTAGATGAGGGTTATGGGTGTGCTTGGGCCCGTCCCCACCACAGGCTGCTTAGTAACCAGTGCCTGAAGCTCCTCTGTCAGTGCAGGTTTGCCTCGCCTCTGACCCTCACTCCTCCTTGGCATCGCCCTCAGGTGCCGGCGGCAGCAAACCCCGAGATGAGCCATGCCCCGCCCCGGACACCCCCGCCCATCATCTGGGCCCCCACGCTTGGGACCCTGGGAGCGCCCATCAGAGCTGTGTCTGGAGGCATATGAGGAGCCACCCCGGCACCCACCAAGCCGCCGCACCCGCAAGGCAGACCCCAAGGACCCTGGCCACCACGGGCCCGAGAGCTTTACCTTCATTTCCGGTTCTGCTGAGCCAGCCACTGAGCCCCCGGCCTGCTGCCCGCTCTGGCGACCCTGGGTGTGGGACTGGTGCCGGGCTGCTTTCTGCGTCCGCCGCTGCTGGGATTGCCTCCAGCGCTGCGGAGCCTGTGTTCGAGGCTGCAGCCCCTGTTTGTCCGCTGGGGACTCCACCGAGGGGGCCACAGAAGCCGACTGGGCCAAAGAGCACAACGGAGTGCCTCCCAGCCCCGACCGGGCACCCCCCAGTCGGCGGGATGGCCCGAGGCTCAAATCAAACACGGGTAGCAGCTTCAGCTACCCAGACGTCAAGCTCAAGGGCATCCCAGTATACCCCTGCCGCAGCGCCACCTCCCCGGCCCCCGACGCGGACTCCTGCTGCAAGGAGCCGCTGGCCGCGCCCCCACCCATGCGGCACAGCCTGCCTAGCGCCCTTGCGAGCAGCCCCCGCGGCTCTGAGGAGTACTACTCCTTCCACGAGTCGGACCTGGACCTGCCCGAGATGGGCAGCGGCTCCATGTCGAGCCGGGAGATCGATGTGCTCATCTTTAAGAAGCTGACGGAGCTGTTCAGCGTGCATCAGATCGACGAGCTGGCCAAGTGCACATCAGACACTGTGTTCCTGGAGAAGACCAGCAAGATCTCCGACCTCATCAGCAGCATCACCCAGGATTACCATCTCGATGAACAGGATGCCGAGGGGCGCCTGGTGCGGGGCATCATCCGCATCAGTACCCGCAAGAGCCGCGCCCGTCCGCAGACCACGGAGAGGCGGTCCTCGCGATCGACTGCCCTTGCCGCTGCGGCCCCAGACAGTGGCCATGAGACCATGGTGGGCTCAGGGCTAAGCCAGGATGGTAGGTGGGGGCACTGGGGCTGAGGGGCGGAGTGGAGGCTCTGGCCAAGGGAGGGTTGCAGTAGCCTTGAGCTGCTGGGGTCCACCCCTTAACAGTGCCTGCTTTCTCCACTTCTCTGCATCCGGTAAGAGGCCCCGCCCCACACTAGCGCCAGCCAGGGCAGCTTCCAGACCTGGTCTGGTTAGCAGGAGCCAAGAGCCCGGATGAAATTGGACCCTCTGGCCTAACCAAAAAGTTTCACCCACCCTTGTACACACAAACACGTGCATTTTTTTTTTTTTTTAACCTTATTCTAGTCTTCACTGGGCTGGGAACAGTGAGGAGGCTTGAAAGGCCCTGACAATAATGTAGTTCCATGTTCTTTCCCTAGAACTGACGGTGCAGATCTCCCAGGAGACCACTGCAGATGCCATTGCCCGGAAGCTGAGGCCTTATGGAACCCCAGGTTTGGTCCTGACTTGAGAATATCCTGAGGCCCCCACTTACCCCATTCCTCCCGGGGTGGGTGAGAATGGGATCAGAAAGGGACAGGCAGCCTGAGCGGCTATAAACTACCCTAATCTTGCAAACTAAAAGGGCTTCAGCAGGCTGCCCCGAACTAGAGGGGCAGGTGTCAAGAACAAACAAGCGGCACATGGTGGGACCCTAACCTGTAAGCCAGGTCACCGGGAGGAAAGTAGAGGGGAGACCAGCCTCTGGAGCTGAAAAGGCACCCCCTGCGGTTTCTACAGCTCTGCTTGGCCTTGACAACCAGCCCCTGGAATAGCTCCCTACAGTCAAGCTGGGGCTCTGAGGTCAAGAAACGAACAAGGGGGTCACCCAGCCGGGACCAGACTAACCCAGCTCCAATCCCCCTCAGCTCCGAGGTGTCTCCCTGCCCACGGCCTGAAGGAGCTCCTCCCCTCTCTCAGCCTGTCCCCTCCTCCCTTCCCCTCAGGATACCCGGCCAGCCATGACTCGTCCTTCCAGGGCACAGACACAGACTCATCAGGGGCACCCTTGCTCCAGGTGTACTGCTGACCCCTGCGGCCCCAACACTTCTGAGCACAGCCTCCTGAATGAAGAGGGGGGACCAGGATCCCTGTGTGTGTGTGTGTGGGGGGGGGTCGGGCCATGAGCCCTGAAGCAGTGCCCACTCTGCTGCTCCTGCCACGCTGCCTGGCCCCTGGACCACGTGCATTTCACTGGACCACAGTGCCCTCACCCCCTGGATCGGAACTTCCTGACCCCTGCCCGGGCCTCCAGGCACGGAAAACAAAGACTTAGGAGTTACCTTCTGGATTGCATCCGATTCCACCCAGCGCCTACCTTAACCAACCCTACAAAACTTGTCTTCGGTGGCTTGGGTTGGGGGCAGACAGTGGGCAGGGCCCACGCCACGTCATGCCGAGCAGTTGGGCTCCTGGCTGACGTTCTACATGTTAACGTGATCATGGTGCCAGCACAGGGTAAAGGGTCCGCCTGCTTGTCTCTGCCGTGACATGTGCTTTCTGCCCCATTTACTTGAGAGCTGTTCAGAGTTGGAGCCAGGATGGAGCATCAAGCCTGGATTTGTGTCACAGGGTTGAAATTGGCAGGCTAAGGAGGTGCAATGATGCTCACCTTTTGGGGTCAGCATTTAAGAGGGCCAAAGGGGTCCTAACAAGGTTCTAGCAAGGGGGCACGGTAGCAGTGCTTCTGGCCAGGCTACACTGGACTCCACTCTTCCAACTTTCTGGCGACAGGTCAGTTTGTCTGCCATCCTGCAGTGTCCCCAACCCTGAGCATATCAGTCCCCCCACCCCCAGTGCTGATGGAACACAGCTACACCGCTCTTCTTGGCCTTGTTAGCAGCCCTGGAGCCAGGCCGTGCTTTTGCGGGGGGCAGCTGGGGTTTGAGGGGTTCGGAATTCAGTGGGTCCGGCTGCTAGCAACTGCCTCCACCTGGGAGCTGGTCTCTTGGTAGTTCTGACTCCCCAACATAGCAAGCTGATCTTCTTGGGGAAAAGCAGGTCTCCTTGTTTGGAGTTCAGGCTCCTGATTAACTTCTCCCCACAGAAAGGTCTAAGTCCTTTCAAGAAGAGAGCATGCACTGTACAAAAAAGAACAATGTAAAATATATATAAATAAAACTAAAGCTAAAAAAATAGGTTAAATGGTTAAGTTGAAAATTTAAAAAAAAGAAAAGGGCGTAAGTCCTTTCAGCAGTGAGGCCAGAGCAAGCTCAAGCCCATTCTCAACTGAGGAACTAGCCAGAGGTTTCCAGAACCACCCTGTGCCCCTCTCACCAGCAGCCCCACACCCCTTTGGGAAGTGACTAGGCAGCTGCCTGCCTGGCCATCTTCCTACCAGAGACACGGATAGTCCCTGAGGCTCTGACCTCAGGCAATGTTTCAGCTGGTAAAACTGGCCCCCTCCTTAGGCTCTGCGGTCTGATCCAGGTCAAGATAAAAGTGACCACAGGGTGCTGAAGCCCAGGGGCTACCACCGGACAGCAGAGAACAGCCATGCTAAGGCCCCTCCGCTCTCTCCTTGGCCCTGAAGACCAAGTTCAGCCTTGGGAACCACCACTGGCATTCCTTGAAAAAAAGGTTTACAAAGCTGGGTATTGCCTAGTCTCTAAGTCCTTAAAACAAGCTATCCTGAAATGCCACAAATACATGTTATATTCCAGAAAATTCAGGAATCACTCACAACTAGACATTCTTGCCCTAATTGTAACTTCTGTGGCGCCTGCACGTGGTAAGCGCTGCTTTCTGGTCACAGTGGACAAGTGCCAGCTCCAGGACTGGATCCGGACAGAGGTGAGCAGCTCTTCAGCCCAGCGCCCCCATAGGCGGGCTGAGAAACGCTCCATGCTGGAGGCCCAGGTCAGACACACAAGAGACAAGCTGGACTTGATCCTCCTGGCCAGGCCCCAACAAGTATGTAGTTTTAGAAACACTTAGGGATGAAGGACAAACTTCATCCACAGCAGGGGATGAAAATGGTCTTAAATTCTGCTGGGTCACAGGCCCCTTTAAGATTCTGCCATATGTTCTAGAGCCAGAAAAACTCACATTTGCTCAGAATCACATGCACATCAGAAGCTTGTTTTAACTCCTCCCTCTCAGTAAGGAGAAACTAAGCCCCCGAGAGGGGCAAAGACTTGGCCTAGGTCACGTGGCAGACAGGAGTTAAAGCCCAGCTCCCAGCTGAGGAAGGAGGACAGTGGTAGTGTTGGGTAAATAGTTTTAATGTGTAACAGGAGGCCAACCGGGGAGGACAAGACCATCCCAAAGCCAGTCCCTCTCCCATGGTGCCCTGGGACCTGTGTGCCGGGCCAGTCCCATACCTGCCCCAATCCTGAGGTCCCCAGGTCCCAGGGAAGGGTGAGGAAGCAAAGAGGATGGCTGGGGGCTCAGTCCTACAAGTTCAAGAGGCTGTCAGAGGCTAGTTGAATTTGGCCTTGGAAAAATCCATCTCTGGATGCTGATCCATGAACCTGGAGCGGGAAAGGAGAAACAGGTAAAACGGGCTGTTCCTCCCCCCTCCTCCGCCCCACATCCGGGTGTGATCTTTTTAGAGCCCTGAGCAACCTGGAGCCCACGTGAGCTCAAGGCTGGAAGCTGAGGTAGCAGCTCAACCTGTGTCCCGTAGGTGGCAATGACCGCCAGCTACCTCCCTACCCAAGGCGGCCTTGCCCTCAAGATGACCTCAGCGAGTGATTACGGTAGGCGAGCAAGGCCGTGAAGTGTCATAAACCTCGCAGTCTCACCGGGAAAGGGCAGGGCAGGGCAGCCCGGTGACCCACAGAGTTGCTATCGCCCGGGTCCAACCCCGCCCCCAAGCCCCAAGCACTGCTTACTTCTTCAGAATCTCCTGTTTCTTCTGTTCATCCGACGTGGGCAGCCCCATGGACTTCTGCCTCTGGTCGTACATCATCTTCTCCACCATGCTGCGAGTCTCGCTGTCCAGATCTGACAGCTGGGGGCAGGCAGTAAAAGGATGGGTGAGGTGTGGGGTGAGCCAGGCCCCCTCACTCTCTCAGCTGAAGCCCCCACAGGACTCACCTTGGAATTCTCAGGATTGATTTTCTTGGTATTGATCTCGGGGTCACTGGACACCAAGCGGCTCCACCACTCCATCTTGTTGATCTGGAGCAGTGAGGGGCAGAGCACCAGGGGTGGGAGGTGGCTCCCTGACGAGGGGAGCACTGACCCTTCCAGACCCAAGCTTCTCCCACCCACATCCCGCCCCCGGGACCCAGAAGCAGGCCTGTGCTGGGGTCTGGGGTGCAGGTGAGCAAGATGCCTGCTTTCCCAGCAGCCAGGGAGGCAGAAGCCAGTTATAAGGGGAAGGATATAGTACAGAGGGAGCTATTAACCAGGGGTGAAGAGAAAGAAGTGACACACAGGGCTGGGCTTTTCAGAGGCCAGTCGAAGAAAGAGGGGAGGGCATTCAGGTGGGAGGAATACAAGTGCAAGGACATGAAGGGGTTCGAGGCAGCTACAGCCAGTCAGGCCTCGTGTACCAGGGATGCTCTCCTTTGACCCCAACCTAATGGAGAACCCCCTTTTTCAATTGGTGCCTGGGCCCCACCTCCATAAGGAAAGTGAGGGAGGAAACACAGGCTATCTGGGGGTGATTTTCTGTGTCACTGATTGCTCTTTTAGCTCTTACAACAGCTCCTGCACGGGCCCTCCCTGGTGGCATGATGGGTTAAAGTGCAGCACTGTGAAGCTGGCTGCAGCACTGCAGTACAAGTTCGATTCCTGCCAAGGAGGTGACCCACATGGCGCAGGGACTTCTCCTTTTTCGCCCGCTGCTCCCTTCAGCAGTGTACTTAGTCAAGCCTGCCTGTTCTGCTCCCCACTCTCTCTCAGTATGCATAAATAAATTAAAAAAAAAAGAACAGCCCATGCACAGAGTAGGCAGCTGCGCGTATGCGGAACTGAAGCGCACAACGGGCGGCTCTGGACCAGGCTGTTTCAGTCCTGACCCCCTCTCTGCAGAAGGCGCCAGGCAGATTTCTAGCGGCCCTTTTCCTGACTCTAGCATGGAACAGACCTTCTTTAAGTCTTGTTAGAGAATCAAGTGAGTCATACCCACCAGGCCCCAGCAGTCCCTCAGGAGCGAGCAGATGCCTACGGCGGAAGCCACATCTCTCGTACCTTCTCTAAGTGCACCGTCACCACCTTGCCATCCTCGATGAGCCACGAGCTCTCCTCCACTTTCACCTCATTGTAGAGCTCCCCGTCGATGATGGCCGGCTGCCCCTTGAGTCCCACCCGGAGGTGCCGCCGCTGGATGTCCACCACCACGTCCTTTCCCTTCAGCCGGAAGTTCACACGGAAGGGCACTGCCAGCTGCACGGGACAGGGCAGTCAGGAAGGCCCTAGGGCCGCCCAGGATCCCATGACGGCCCCTGACCTCCACCCCAGCCCTTGCCACTCACGTCCAGCTCTGACAGTGTCTGGGTCCAGCGGTAATTGGGCAGGTCAGCCCCGTTGCCAAGGTTGGGCTTCAGTTTCCCTTTGTCCTTCTCATCCTCCTCTTCCTCATCCTCCTCAGCCTCCTGCTCAGCCAGGGGTTCTCAGTTACTTCTTTGACAGACTGAACCCCACTGGGCCAGGCCCAGGGTGGCATTGGACACAGTGGCAAAAGACAGGCACGGTGGTCTCTGTTCACTGGGTGCCAGTGCTCAAACCTGGTCTGACTGCCACCTGAGCAAGTGTCTGCCAGGTGACAAAGGACACTACTTGGGGTTGTGACAGCCAGAAAGGGACACAGGTGGGGGTCCAAGTCAGGGAAGCTGGGAAGCCAATGTGACAAGGTGGCCAGGGAGTGAGGCTGTTCCTAAGTAAAACCAGGCAACGATCAGTACCCTTTTTCTGTGGCTGCAGAGTTGAGATTCCTCATCTCAGACAGGAACCTCTGGAAAGTCAAACAATGTCCCCAGGATTGTTGGGAAGCTGGATTGGAGTAAGCGGGGGTCTACCTGAGGGTCGCATACCCCAGAAAGACCCAGACACTCTCCTCTTTCTGGCCCCCGCCCAAGCAGCTGTGCTGGCACTGCCCTCTGGCCCCCGGACTTCCTGCCGAGGCTTAAAGTCAGTCAGTTTATTTTTTAAACCCCGGTCCTCGGGTCCAGTGCCTTGACTGGGATCCTGAACCTAAAAGAGGAGCGCCCAAGCCAAGGAAACACTCCAGAGAAAGGGGGGGCTGGGAGGCCCCAGAAGCGCTGGAGCCTCTGCACTCACCTGCTTCCCTGGGGAGCCAAGGCTGCCGTTCTTGAGCTGGGCCTCAGGAGTCTCTGCATCCTTTTTCTGTGGCAAAAGACACAGCAGTTGGCCAGAGGGTCCATCCCAGTGCCAATGGGGATGAGGCAGGTGAGGGCGGAGACCCACTCTTACCTGGTCAATCTCCAGCTGCAGTCTCTCTGCCTCCTCGTCAGTCAGCTCCTTGATTTGCGGCCCGGAGGGCTCCGACTTGGCCTCCTTGGCCAGCCTGGCTGCCCGCTCTGCCTTCTCCCGCCGCTCAGTCTCCTGCCGAGCTCTCTTCTCCCTGCGGGTCTTCTGTGCTAGCTGATTGTGGTGGTTGAAGGTCTGTGTGATCAGCTGGGGAAGGAAGGAGGTCATGAAGCCTCAGGGCAAGCAAGGGACAGTGTCCCAAAGCCTGGGGTCAGTCCCATCACTACCTCCTGGGTAAGGTAATACACTCAGCCTCCGTGTCCCCATCTGTAAGATGACTCCACATGCGTTGTCCTGAGTACGCCTGCAAAGCGCCTGCGTCCAATGAATAGCAGTTTTTTTGTTTTTTTTTGAAAAATACTGTCTATGATTAAGACCATGGACACTGAAGTTGTATAACCTGAGTTCTGACTCTTCCATTTCTGACAAACTGTTTAACATGTAAAGTTTCACATCCCTCGTCGGTGAGGCCGAATCTGACTCGGGTTACTGTGCAGACCAGATGTAAGAGACCTGCAGACCCTGCCCTTCAGCGCGAGCCCTCAGAAGCAAAGCTCCAGTCTCAGCACTCTGCGAAGCCCCTCCGAGCTTCAGGCCCACACCGGCCTGGTCTGACTGACCTCACCCACTGCAGAGTCCACAGAATGCGCCCCTGCTGGGCAGCACTGTCCAGAAGCAAGAGGGCGCTTTCTTGAGGGAACAGGCTCCTCTCCTCCTCTCCTCCTCTCCTCAGCCTGTGCAGTCAAGTTCAAATCCTTTCTCTCCCACAATACCTTGCGAACATACTCCCACCCACATCCTATTAGCTGGCCTCCCAACATGCGATGTCTGGCTGAGGCTGTGGAAAAGTGAACAACTGACTCTACGCCTCAGATTCCCCATCTGTCACAGCAACTGACTAGGTGAGGACTGAGATGTGAGCAAGGCCAGCCCCACGTCAGCTGGCAGCTGGGGAAGCACACCTCCTTGGCCTTGAAAAGTGAGAGAATGGTTCACCTTGCTTCTAAGACCAGCTCTCAAGGTGTGGTTCCCTGACCTGCAGCATCAGCACCACCCGGAATTTGGCAGAAATGCTATACCTCAGGCCCCACTGCAGACCTCCCGAATCAGAAACCCTGGGGTGCAGCATCTATAGTTTTATTTTTAAAGATTTTATTTATTTACGCATATAAGAACTTGGATGTAGGCCAGAGGTGGTGAGAGGCTTCACCAGAGACAGAGTGGGGAGCAGAACAGGCAGATCAATGAAGTACACTGCTGAGGGGAGCAGCGGGTGGTTCAGAGGAGGTCTGCTGCGCCATGTGGGTCACCTCCAGGCCAGGGATCGAATTTATGCTGCAGTGGCCACAGATAGCAACACAATGCCTTGCTTTAAGCCACTGTGCCCCCAGGGAGGGTACAAGCCTCTGTAGTTTTAACAAGTCCTCCTGGTCAAGTCTCAGGCTCACCTGAGCCACACCTCCGTGACCCAGAGGCCTTTTTGTGCCTTTATTATTTCTAAAAGCAGCCTCACGGGCCCTCCCTGGTGGCACAAGGGGTTAAGTCTCAGCACTATGAAGCTGTCTGCAGACACTGCAGCACGAGTTTGATCCCAGCCCGGGAGATGGCCCACGAGGCGCAACAGACCTCTGCTGTCCAGCCTGCTGTTCCCCTCAGCAGTGTAGTTTAATCAGTCAGCCTGTACTGCTCCCCACTCTGTCTCTGGTGTATCTTCTCACCCCCCACCCCACACCTCTAGCCTGTACCCCAGTTCTTGTATGCATAAACAAATAAATCTTAAAAAGGCAGTCTCACACAAGCTGTTCTCTGCCTAGAATGTACCTGTCCCTGCCCAGGTCACTAGTAAATGTCTACTCACCCTGCAGGACCATGAAATGTCTCGAAGTGAGTCTCGGTTGGGCTACTTCAGCAGCCTAGACACATGCTCAGCTGGGAAACGCAACTGTGTGGACCCACACCCCAGGGCTTGCAGGGTACCCACGCATGATCAGTGGTCAGTAAACCATGTTTCAAGCATCTCTGTGCCAGAGGACGGGGTCTGCCAGAGGTGAGGGACCGACGTGAGGCTCAGGGTCACCAAGTCACCGTGGGCTCCCAGACCCAAGGTTTTGCCAAATGCGCCCTGTGGTTTCTCGTTCATCTGATGCCAATTCCTCCCACCACCCCAACCTCCAAGCCCATGGCACACTGCAATAGCTCCATTCTCTGCAAGGGTGAAGGGTACCAAAAGCACTTCCCAAACCAAATGGGTCCACAAAGCATGGTTTAAGTGTAGAAGAAATGAAATGAGCCCTTCCAGACTGAGCCAACACCTGAACGCCACTCCAGTGTTGACAGAAATCAGTCGAGACAGTTACCCGAGCAGGACTGTTCCATCACAAGGCCTTGGGCCCATGTTCCTAAACACAGAGTCCTTGACCTCAAGCCATTTGCCAAGCAGGGCCAAGGGCCCTCTCCTCTCTCGGGTCACTCAGTGAATCATGCACATCCCATTCATCCTGTTCCTTCCTAGCTCCCAGAGGTTAGGTGAGGACAGAAGCTGAAGCACCAGGAGTCAAGGCCAATCACCTGGGCCTCTGGCCCAGTGTGAGGCAAAGACCTTGGGTGCTGTCTAGTCCACCCCCAGGAGCCAACCAGCAGGCTCAGAATCAAGTCTGTGTCCTGACCCACCTTAGGAACCAAGCCCAGCAGAGTGGGCAAGGGAGAAGGAGAGCAAAACCGCTGCCAGGGACAGGCCCAGGCTGCTGAGTGCACACCTGGAAACCAGCTTCCCCTCACCGCTGCTGGGCCACAAAGGAGTAAAGAGTGGTCCCCGCCAGCCTGGCCAGGGGAGACCTGAGAGGTACTTAAGCCGAATCCAAAGGCATGAGGTCCGAACCTGACCATGGAAGGAGACACTTCCCCAACTCTAAGGGAGAGGACACACGCCTCTTCTTAACTCCATGTCAGTGGAGCCACACAATGAGTGCTTATCCCTTTTTTTTTTGGTAACAACACAAGACTTCATCTTCTCTTTTGATCTGAACAGTATTCCATTCTGTACATCTTTATCCATGCATCTGTCCTTGGGTACTTAGGTTGTTTCCCAAGCTTGATTATTGCAGATAGTTTTGCAATGAACAGGAGTGCATATAAACCTTCAAATTAGTGTCTCTATTCCTGGGTATTTAGGAAGGGAGTTGTTGGGTCACACGGTAGAGCTAATTTCACTATTTTGCAAATGCTCCCCATCCTTTTCCACAGAGGCTAGATCAGCTTGCAGGCCACCAAGAGCAGCTGCAGTTCCTTCTTGTACACATGGTCCCCAGCATTTGTCGCTTCTGGTCTCTTTTTCACTTTGCTCTCCTTAAACGACACTATCTGCTGTCCAGACCCCTGGTCTGCTTCCACCTGCTGGCTACTGTGAATAAGTACCATGAACGTGAACAAACCTCTGCAATTCTTGAGGATATACACAAGTGAGACTGCTGGATCATGTGGCAGCTCTATTATCAAGTTTTTTGAGAACAAACCACACTGAGTTCATCCTGTGTGAGCTGACCCACAAGGTGCAGGCCTCTCCTGCCTCACCCACTGCTCTCCTCAGCAGTGTATGTCAGTAGATCTTACCAGTTCCCCACTCTCTCTGGTGAAGCCTCTCACCCGCCTCAACCCCTGCCCACACACTGCTGGCCGACACCCTACCAGTTCTAAACAAACACTGCCTGTTCTGGCCCCGCTGTCTGGTGAATTCACCCCCCCACCCCTCTGGACTGTACCCCAGTTACTATGTGCATAAATAAATAAATCTTTTTTTTTTTTTTAAATTAGACAAAGCATCCTCAGTGGGAATCAACAAACATGGTATCACCGGCAAAAAGCCACCGGTCCAACCCTGGCTCTCACACAACTCAGTTGAAGACTTTGCACCAAGTGCTCAACACTCTGCGCCAATCTCCTAACTTATAAAATGGCAACAACAAACTGTTAAAGGATCATGGGAAACTGGCAAAAGTGCCTGGCAAGCAGAGGGGATTTCCATCCCACCCCTTGACCTTGGCATCTCATTTGTGCCAAAATCATATTAGTGTATCAACGGAAGGCCAGGTGAGCTTTCCATATGAAGAAATATATGCCCAAAGGGCAGCGGTCCCCAACACTCACCTTCTCTGCTATCCCCTCTTCTCCTCCAACGAAAAAGTCTGTTTTGCGTCGAAGAAAACTGAAGAAAGTATTCACAAGCTGGAAGACAGAAGATCCACGATGTGATGATGCCACTTGGAGAGCCCCTGGCCCACACAGAAGTCAACTCCTTAGTATAGGATGGGGCTTGACTGTTTTACCCACGAGCCAGCCTCCCGACTGAGGAGACGCCCTCTCCAACAGGTCCTACCTTGGTGGCTTGTGACAGGATGCCTAACCTCACCTTACGCAGATCCCTGAAGGTGGGCTTCTCACTTCTCATGTATATGTGTACACGCCTGGGTGCACCTTCCTCGCCACACTAATACCAAAGCCCACCCTAGACTTGGACTGGTGCAGCTGCTGAGGCCAACCTGAGACTGGCTGAGGTACTGGTGTAGCCAAGATGTCGAGAGCCTAGGCTACAGTATCAGACTGTGACTTAGGGACATTTCTTAGGTATAGACACAGGGCCTGTTTATAGGGATCTTTCAAGGATCAAGCGAGGTAACAGAGGCAAGGACCTGAGAGTGGCCCCTGAGGCCTCTGGGAGAGCATGAGCTCTTCACAAATAGGCACCAAGAACCACAGCTTGTTCTGTCTCCACTGCCTGGCATCTGGCACCACGTCAGACTCTTGAATGTGAAGATCTAGCAGTAATGCAGGATTAGCACATATGAACCTTTTATATGTTCTAAATCGAACGCCAGAACTTATCTCCATTGCTTGGACTCCTGTTTCTACATGTTTTCAATTCACTCAAAAATGAACTCACTCCCAACTCGAGTTTGTGTCAACAACTTAGGGCCAAGGAAGGCAGCCTTTCACACAAATCAGTAACTTGCCCCTAACCTCAAAGGGCTTCAGAGTCCTTGGTTATCACAAGCACCTAAGCCAAAGAATGGGAATGGAAAGTTCAATGAGGACTTGTCCCTGGTGAAACGGGCTACGGAAAGCACCCTGGCCTAGCAGTCTGGTGGCATCCAGGTCAGAAGACTGTTGGATGGTCTTGGGAAGGTACTATGCCCCTTGGTCTCTTCATAGACAAGCTCTGGGCTGATCTTAACAGGCTTTTCCACTCTAATTTTCCATATTTCTGCTCCAAACTCCAGAATCTACTGGTTGACCCTTGGAATTCCTACACAATGTATCAATTGGGTCTAGTTACCACATGTGAACTACACTGGTGAAAAGCTCTTCTGTAAGTGCCATCAAGAGAAGGACAGGTTTCTGCTCACATCTGTCATCTCCAGGACCCTGACCAGTGAGTGCGACACACACATTAATCACCCAACAAATATTTGTTGGATAAAACCGCCTGATTACTGAGAATTCTCGTTTCCTTTGTTTCAACACGCTACTCACCTAAGGAGATTGAGATAAGAGGATGCTTAGCTCTCTCAGAGACAAAGAAGCAGCGGTTTAGAGACGGGTAAAGTCCCAAGTTGGTAGGTGGTGGAAACCAGAGGTGAACACCGTCTCCTATTTGAGGCCGCAAAAGACCACGTGCTAACATCGCCCTGCCGCCTTCAGCCCTCACCCCACCCCGCACACATTGGGCAGCTCGTCCCGAGTCTTCATGGATGCAAATCACCAAGTCTGGCCCAAGGAACCTAAGGGGTGCATCCTCAGGGATGCTCTTCGGGGGCGACTATCAAAAGCGAAACGGGAAGGTAGTGTGGAGTCTAAGGCAGAAGCTAGGGGTGAGGGTAGCGATCCCAAGGCCTTTGGGGGCTTTGGGGCGTGTTCAGGGGTGCTGGAGTTGCTAAAACGGAATGACTGAGGCAAGCCGCGGGCCCGATAGCTACTAAGGGACGCGCGGCAGGGTGGCCAGACCGGAAGCGGGGGCACGGCGAAAAAGGAGGGGGCCCGGAGGCCCACGGGTGGGTCTCGACCCTCGAAGGCAGAGGAGGGCAGAGGGAACGTGGCTCTAGCCGCCCCTGTGGGCGGGCGCCGCTGGGCCAGGCCGGGCCAACGTCGCGCGGGCCGTTACCTCCTGCACGCCGCCCTCGTGCTGCTGCGCCATGGCCAGCAACATGCCGTCGAACCGCTCCTCCTCCTGCTCTCCGCCCATCGCGCCGGCTCCCGGCTACGCTCGCAGACCAGAGCTCCGCACTCGCGCCCCGCGCTCGCCCCGCCGCTGCGGCTTGCGTCCGGCCCAACGGCTCCAGTGCTCGGCCTTCCGCAGCGGAGCCGGAAACACGCACGTGCCCGCCGCCCAAGCCCGCCTTCTTCCCAGCTCTCGGCCACTAGCCGCACGGCACACAGCCCGCTTCGCCAACCATTGGTCGACACCCTGAGCCAATCAGCAAGCAGGTTCCTGAAGCGGCGGGCGGAGCCGAGGGCCCAGGAGTTTGGCGTGAGTTGCTATGGTCACCAGAAGCTTTGGAGCCTTCCAGAAAGCCCTGAGCTCAAATGGGTGGGGGTGAGGTTATAAAGAGACAAACTTTTCTTCCTCACCTTGCGGGTTACCTCCAGCATGTAAAATGGGGGTACCAAAAGTGATCTTATTCATCTTCTATTTCTCCCACCGGTGAAGTGAGACCCTGATGGAAAAGAGACTTGCCCAAGAGACAGGCTACGTCTTCACCAGTTCAGGCTTCGTGGACTGGGCAGTCACCGCGGCCTCGGGGCGTAGCTCTATGCTTGAGTTCCAGCTCTTGTTACAGTCCAGAAGTGCTTAATTTTTGCACAGGAAAACCCCCACATTTTCATTTTGCACTG